AAGAGAGATGCTATCAAAGTGAACCTCCAGTGGTAATAGGTCCGCAAAGAATCGAGACTAGTAGGGCATTTTATTCTTTATCTTATTTACAGATTCCCCAACTACTTTTGTCATGGCACCAAGAGAGCCCCATGAAAGCGCTTGACATTAGCAGTCCCTTGCTGGGGTTTCTGGAGCCTGTGGTCGTTGCTTTCTATACAGTTTAAACCTCGTGAGTCACTGCCCAGCTCTGTGAGCGAGAGACTCCACGACCCCTAATCCTTAGACACAACCAAGTGTGCGGCGAGCTCATTTGGTGGGCCTGCCCCTCCACTGGATCCCCTGGTTCCTCAAACAGGTGACTGTGACACCAGAAACATGGCCAATGTTAGCACAATTTGTTGCCAAACCAAAGTGGAGGGAGTGCTACTGGCATCCAGGGGATGAGCCGGGTGCTACTGAACCCTCAAGTGCACAGGACAGCCTTCGGGAGAATTATCCGCCCAAATTTAGTAATGCCGAAGTTGAGACTCTGGTCTAAGGGTTATACTCCACACAGCAGCACCAGCCTTTTCTTGTTCACTGTTTTGTGCCCCAAAATAAACAAGGGGCCCACTCAGAGTAGGCAAAGAAGGGCAGGGAAAAGGAGAGGAAGAGAGAGGGAAGAAGAATACACATGTAATTCTGGAGATTAGTCCAGGCGAGCTGGGTGTGGTGGTTCACCTGTATCCCAGCTACCGGGAGGTGGAGGAGGAGGATCTCTCAGCCCCAGCCCGGGAGTTGCAGCTTCAGTGGCGCTGATTGTGCCACTGCACTCCACTGGGGGACAGGGTGAGACCCTGTCCCTAAGACAATAAAACATTTTTAAAGATTTAAAGCTAATAAGGGTGGAATTATTTTGGCTTGACCAATGTGCTGAGTTGCGCGTCAGGGAAGTTTATCACCTTCATCAAAGTTTTTCGTCCAGCTCAGTTGTTGATGTAAAGCCAGATGCCCCTCCCAGCACATTAGGCAACAACATCTTCCTTCTTTTCCAGCATATTATGGGGTACAAATGTTTGAGTTACCCTTGTTGCCGTTCCCTCCTCTATCCCGGAATCAGAGCTTTCAAGCGTGTCCATCCCCTATAGATGATGCAGCATTGCACTCATATTATTATATACCATCCCCTCCTGCCCCCACCCACCTGCGGACACCACAATAAATGTTTATCCTATATACTGCAAACAGGCAACCTCTGTGAAGCATAGGAGATACTTAAAGAGATACAAATAGATCACATTTCAATCCAGCAATCCATTAACTGGTGCATTCTACCCAAAAGAACAAAAGAACAATCTAACAAAAAGACATCGCACTCGAATGTTTTAGCACATTCACAATTGCAAATAGTGGGAAACAACCCAAATGTCGTCTACATGAGTGGATTAATATGTGGTATATTACACCATGGAGATATCAGCTATAAGAAACATGGTGATATGTGCAGCTCTGGTATTTTCCTGCATAGAGCTGGAACTTCTGCTACTAAGAGGAGTATTCCAAGATGGAATAAGCAACCACATGTACTCACCATCTTAATCAGTAGTCCCAAACTCTCCAGTTCCACAGAGCCATGACAGTGGTCATTCTTCCTTCCACCTCCAGTCTGCTCCTGCTGCAGCCCATGATGGTCCTGCATGTTGATCTTCACCAGCACACTAGAGCTCACATAGGTCTGACCACTGCACAGCCTACACATGTGCACACAAGGGAATATATAGCAGAGCCACTTGACTTTACTGCACCCTCTGGGGCTGGTGAGCTGAGATGGTCTCATTCCAGTTGCAACTCTCTGTCTTTCCATTCATCAAGAAAAAAAAAAACCTGGTGAGTTCTGAACCCTTACATTCCAGAGTGGTCTGTATGTTTCACTTCCTCTTCCAAGTTGCCATCAGAGAGGAGACAAACTCCAGTGAGACAGTGTCATGCTAAGCCAGCACACCACCCGCTTTCGAAGCGGTCAGTCCTTTCTCTGGGCATCCCCAGCCCACCCCAGGCAGGCATCTCCTGGTGCCCAGGAGCAAGAAGCAAATTGAAGAGAGGCTGTTGACAAGGCATCTGCACACACTGCTCTGCCCTCCAAGCTTCATGTAACACTGGAAGTACCTCCATTCCATTGAAAAGTCCAGTCGTTCTGAGCTCACCCAGGAAGTTTGTATTTGTGTCCGTGGAGCATGAATCCTTGAAGACCATAGACACAAGCCATGGCCTTGAGCAGTGGTCTCCAACCTTTTTGGCACCAGGGACCGGTTTCATAGAAGACAATTTTTCCACAGACTGTGGAGGGGCGGGGGGCATGTAGCAGAGCAAAGCCATGGACCTGTACCAGTCTGCAACCCAGGGCTTGGGGACCTCAGGCTTTGAGGGAACAGAGAGCAGCCTCACTGCAGGGGATCCCCAGAGTGAGACTTTTCTCCTTTCAGGGGAGGGAAAGTGCCTGTATCAACCATGCCTTTTGTTTTCTCTGTTCTAATGCTTTGATATTTAGGGCTTTGCTGACCCTGAAGGGACTGCCCCTGCCAGGAGTAGCTGATTCCTACAAATAGTCAACGACTTGGCCCCAGCCCTGAGTATGTTTTCCAGATGCAAACTGGCCAATCCAGAGCCCATACGCCCCCACCTCTGGCCACCTCCATCACGGGGCTCTGGCCCTCCTGGGCCACCATCCACCTGTCCCACTCACCCCAGGGCCAGTAGCAGACAAGTAGGCACAGCCCCTGTGCCCCAAAGCCTGCTGAAATTATTCAAATTAACCAATCCTGAGCCCACACACCCTGCCTTGTCCTGTCCTTCCCGCAGAAACCACACCGAAGGCTCTTACCCACATCCCGCACCCCACCTCCAGCACCAGCCCTGGAGCTTCTTCCCAGGGCAGTGCCTCCAGGTTGTGGGAAACTGTAATGATAATAAGCCACTTCTTGGTGACAAGGATTTCCGTATCTGTGTGTCTTAGCGTACATGATTAAAACTAACCCAGTGTTTGCTTAAAACAGTGCCAAATGTGCAAACCTTGTTCATAGGGTCGTATGGACAAGTGATGGTTGGCACTCACAGATGCCAACATATGGGCCTGCACTGTGGTGTCCCCATGTCAGTGCCGGGGGAGCGGGAGAGGCCGTCAGGAGGCGGGAGCCAGGGAGGATGCGGCCCTGTGGACGTGCTGACAGTGTGTGAACCCCGTGCCTCTACACACATTATCTCTGCTATTGTCACTACAAACCTTGAACCCAGAGGAGGCTCCGGTGCAGTTAAAACCTCACGTCAGTCAGTGGTAGAGCCAGGACTCAAACGTGGGTTCTCTTTCCACTCTTCAGGCTGCCTTCCCAATGGACACTTTAAAGCATCAAAAAAAAAGTGTCATTTTTCTTTTGTGAGACCAGCTACTACCATGCAAAAGGGGCGTCACTACAAGATGTCACTGTTGCTATCAATCCCAGGGTCCATGTGCCCCCCTGTGGTCTCTACCATCTCTCCCCAGCGACACCCAGCTATTGGGTCATCTCCAATAGCCAATGGCCAGTAGTAGTTTCCAATGTCCCCTCTTCTTGGGACATTAGCATTTTTGCAGCAATCCAAGTGCAGGGAGGGAGGCCCAAGGGCAATGGAAGCTTCCAAACCCTTGCTGTGGCACAACACACGTTGGAGTGTTTTTAAAACCATGCAGCAAAACCACCACGGAGGTAAAAGGTAGATTGTTCCCAGCCGCAGCTGCTCCGTGGGGAGGACTTTATAGCGCAGCCCTGGCAGTAGGGACAGAGAAAATGGCATTTGGGAAGCGTGGGAACCGCCAGCATCACTCATGCCTAAAGTTGGCCTTCCTGCTAGAAGCCAGGAGGCTTATTAAGGTCTTTCAACCACAGCTGAGAATGAAGTTGTTTTCAGAGCCCACATTGAAAAGAGAGCCACCTCCTGAAGTTACAAGCATTCGCACAGATCCCATGATAGCAAAGAGAAACAGAAACAGCTTGAGCTGGGAGAAGCCACTTGAAAAAGGTCCTGATTTTAAATCTGCTTGCAGATGTGACACCCTGAGAAGGAACAAAATCACCTTTGCTGTGTTCCTGCATAATTACAAAGGCATGCTGGACAAGCACAAAATAAAGAGCATTCTATTTTTTTTTAAGGGTACAGGTACTGTATGCTTCAAAAATGTCAATGTCACGAGAGACAAAGAAATGCTGTGGAAATGTTCTAGATCAAGGGCCCTAAGGAGACATGACAACTAAATGCAGTATCTGCCCCTAAACTGGATCCTGTACTACAGGCAGGTATGAGGGGAGGAGGGGGTAAAAGACATTATTATATCAAATCACAAAATTAGAATATGAACAGTAGATGAGATGAAAGTATTGTCTCAATGCAAAATGACGGTGTTGGTAGCTGCGCTGTGATTACATTAGAGGTAATCTCCATTCTTAGGAAATGCCCACAGGAGTATGTAGCAGGAAGGGCCATGATACATGTAATTCACCCTCCAATGGCTCAGAAGAAAAATTACACACAAACAAAGCTGGATAAAAGATACCTTTTACTATCTGCATTTTTGCACCTCTTGTAAATTTAAAATTAATTCCAAATAACAATCTGCTTTAAAATCTCATCTTTGAGTAACTGCAGGCAGAGTTGGAGAATGTTCCTCCCTTAGAGCATAAGCTGGGGCAAGTGTGCTCGGGCACAGGTGGGGATCAGCTGCCGCCCAGGAGAGGACCCGTGCCAATTTTCTCAAGTACCCGCTAGCTTCCAGAAGCTTCCCCACGTCCTGGCACAGTGGGGATCAAAACCAACAGTGCCAGGGAGCTTACAGGCCGGAGGAGGAGGAGACCAAGGGCAAACCAGAAGTCACACCAGTAAATGGATGATCACAAAAATGTAAAAAGCTATAAGAGACTCCACTTGACCAGCCTTAAAAAAAAAAAAAAAAAAAAAAAAAAAAAAAAGCTATAAGAGAGAAGTTTAAAGGGATCTAAGGCAGTAAACAGTGAAACCTATGAAGAAGTAAAATCTGAAACCCAAATTAGAACGTGGCCAGGCGTGGTGGCTCCTGCCTATAAATCACTGCACTTTGGGAGGCTGAGGCTGGAGGATCACTTGAGCCCAGGATTTCCAGACCAGCCTGGGCAACATAGCAAGACCCCGTGTCTACAAGAAATTTAAAAATTACCTGGGCGTGGTGATGCATGCCCGTAGTCCCAGCTACTCAGGAGGCTGAGGCAGCAGGGTCACTTGAGCCCCAGAGTTGGAGGCTGCAGTGAGTTATGATCATGCCACTGCACTCCAGCCTGGGTGACAGAGTGAGACCCTGTCTCAAAATATATGGAAAAAAAAAAAGTAAAGTGTATTTCAGGAAAACTTAAGAGCTGAAAAAGGCATGAGAAGCCAGGCATCCTGGGGGGGGGGGTCTGCTGGGTTTTACTGATGCATGAGCCCCGGAGCACACAGCAAGGAAGGGGCAAGGACAGATTCCAGGGGGTCAGGGCTTGAGCAATTAGGTGAGCAGAGCCCACTCACTGAGAACAGACCACCACTGGGAACCCCACTCAGTGCCGGGATGCCATCCACATGGCTATTTCTTGCACTTATACTTCATGCTCATCCACAACCCCTCCTCCGGTTCCTGCTGACATGTCCGGCTCTGGCCTCCCCTGATCTTGCTGCCCTGTAGCTGTGGTCCCACTCCTCTTCTTCAGAAGATACTTGATTCTAAAGCTGCAGCCCTCAGCAATGCCTAGCAGTGGCATTTGCAGGGGAGGGAGGAGCTGAGCCCTTTCTTTTAAATCTCCTAGGTGGAATCAAAGCTTCGCCCTTTGGGAGCCTGTATGATGTCTTCAGGCAGCCCAGGGTCTGCAGAGAGAGCTGATCTGGGGAGCAGGTGGGGCCTCCGGTGGAACAATCCAGATCACGGGGGCCCTGTGGCTCCTTTCTGTCCCGGAAGCCAGGGAGGAGACGAGAATCTCAAGAAGGCCCCCAGCCGGGGCACCCCCCTCCCTGCAGGACACCACTACAGACCCGCAGCGCTTCTAGCTTGGAGGTGAGGAGGCCCCGGACTCGGAGGCCTGGTTTGGAACCCTGCCTCTGCCCTTCCTAGGTGTGTTGCCTGCCTCAGCCTCCCTGTGCCTCCGTTTCCCACCTATAAACAGGGACACAATGATCCCTCCCTCCTAGGGGGTGGTGAAGACTAAATGAGTTTGTTTTTATTGCTGCCCTTGTTTTTCTTACTATTTTACTAGGGCCTCATCCTCCAAGGAGACTGTCCCCTGGAAGAGTTGGATCCTGGACGTGACCCTGCTGTCCGGCAGCCTTGGGGAGCCCCCTGCGGTGAGTGTCTAGCAGGCAGTCAGGCTCTCAGCCCGTCCTGGGCTCTGACCCTGTGTCCACCCTGCACCCAGTATCCCGCCCAGTCCTGCCAACCCTCCTCTGCCCCACAGTGCCCACGGGCCCACATTCTCATGCCTGTGCTGATCTCCTGAAGCCGGGCAGATTGCTCTTTCCCTCTCCCATCCTCCTGCAGGTTCCTTGCCAATTTGTGGTGTTTTCCCTTTTCCTTCTTGTCACGGCTGAGTTGATGCTCAGACACACTAAAGAATGAGGGATGCAATCAGATTAGAGACTTCCCGTGAGAAGAAAATGGCCTGTCGCCACTTTTATGAGCACCCCCTCCACCCGACGGATACTAGGGCCTGTGACCAGAGCTCTGCCACCCCAAGGGGACTGGGCTTGGGGTGGGAGAAGCAAGCGGGGCGTGGAGAGGGAGACTTGTAAACTCCGAAAGGGCTTTCCAGTTACAATCCCGCAGTCAGCGCTCCCTCCAGGCAAAGCCTGCTGGCTGCATATCATTTCCTGGACATCTCTGGGAAGCAGGTCTCAGCTCACAGTGGCACGCTGTTACTGCACTCCGGGGACCCTGGCGGGACGCAGGCAGCCGGGAGGCGGCGGCAGGGAAGTGCAACAGCGCCATCTAGTGGCCGCGCCGGGCGGCGGCGATCCGCGCTCCGCGACCAGGGATCCTCCACCCGGCAGGACGACGTGGTCCCTACGACCCGCGGTCACAGCGCAGTGGCGCGGCCTTCCGAGCTTCTTAAATAACAGGTTAGCTCTCGCTGACACCTCGGTAAGAGCCTAGGCCACAATGCTTACAGGATTTTCATCTCCTCGGCCTGAGCGTCGCCGAGAGTCCTAAAGGGGGCGCTGTAGGGGGATTCCCGGGATCCCGCGCCCCGTACCTGGGGCCTGTCTGCCGGGGCCACAGCCGGCCAGCTCCGGGCGCCTGTTTGCGGGGCTTGCGGGGCTTGCTGGCTAGCAAAACTGTCACGAAAAGGCCTCCTCCAACGCGAGGGCGAGGCTCGTTCTCGGGAAGATACCCTAACAGAACAGAACGCAGGTCTTCGGCCCTGAGCACGCATCAGCGTCGCCCCGGGGGCGCCTTACTACAAGGATTCCTGGGCCACCCCCGATTCTCGGGCTCCTGCGAAGGTCTGGGGTGAAAGCCCAGGGTCTGCATTTCTATCCAGTCCTCTGTTGACGCTGACGTTGCTGGTCTGGGGCATTCTGAGACCCACACCAAGCCTAATAGTTTTTTTATGTTGGACTGCTTCTTCCTAAATATTTGAAAAGTTCCTGTGGTCTACACCTGTCTTGCTCCCGCTTTTTTAACAGAGTCCCAGGGCCTCAGTCTGCGACTCTTTTAGAAACAGCCGGGGAGGGTGTGGGGGGCCGTGGGGGCGAGGATAAACGGAGCTTAAACGGAGGCCTGTTTCCTCCTCACCTCCACTATAACTGTAACTGGAAAGCCCTTTAGGATTTTACAAGTCTCCCTCTCCACGCGCCGCTTGCTTCTCCCCACCCCAACCCCAGTCCCCTTGGGGCGGCAGATTCACCAGGCCAGATTCTGGGCAGGTCAGATTCACCAGGAGTGAACGCCAGACCCAGCCCCAGGCCTGCAGAGGCCCTCGGTCCCTCGGTCCCACCTGCAGCACTGACAGTGAGGTCAGGACGCTCACACTCAGGAGGGCGGGTTTGGGGCCCTCTCCGCAACATAAATGTTGTCCTAGGATTTCCACCACCTTTCCAGAAGGACTTGTATTAGGGGCATTTTATGCTAGAGATTTATCCACACACAACTGGGAAGCGTCTGCGCTGGTATAACCAGCATGATTTCAAGAGCGGGTCCTCCTCTGCCCGCAGTGTGAGTGCCAGGAGGCTCTGGTGGACACTGAGGTTAATAAGACCACGTGTGCCCTCAGCCAATCAGAAGTCAGCAGTACTCTTAGTATCGGCCCATCACGTTCCAGCCAATCACATAGCAAATGTATTCAGCCAATCAGAAGCAAGCATTGTTCTGAGCTCCACCCACCCTACCACCTTCTTGTTCAGGTAAGTCAGACCAGAAATGCATTCGGCCAATCAGGAGTGACCCACAGTCTGAGCGCCACCCCCTCCACTAGGATCCACAATATTGTTACACCTGTTAACTCAAGAACGGCCTCTGTTGATGCGGCTCTTCATAGGCATCAAGATCAACTGAAAAAGTGAATTTGCCTGTAACTAGGAGCTAACTGTTCATCACAAATGCATGCCCACAACAAAAATGTATACAAGCAGGGGGAAAAGGTTAACACTCCCAGTGTTGACTTATGCATTAGGCACAATAGGCACCAAGGCCCAAGGAAGTAATTTATTTTAAAATGGGAAGAAAAATAAGTTAATACAATCTTTAATTGATAATATTTGTCTACCAACACAGTAGCAAAATATAATTTTTAATATTTTCACAGGGGAAGGGGACCATGAAGGCAAAAGCCCCTAAGACCCACAGAAGTTATGCTCCAAGCAAAGGGTAGAATTAGATCATCCTGAAGGCTTGTACAGCTCTAACCAACTGTGGTTCAATGTAACCATTCTGTTTTCCCTCCGTTATTACCAAAGACAGAGTAAATTGGAGAAAAGGAATGTGTCAGCCTGGACGCTTGGTTTCAAGTGGCAGAAAACCAACCCAAACTAACTTAGGCAAAAGGGGAGATTTTTAACTCTTGCAAGTGAACAACCTAGGAATAGTTCTGGCTTCAGGCAGGACTGGGTTTAGGGACTCAATGATTCCTAGCACCCGGTGTCTCTCCCATCTCTCAGCTCCAATTCCATGTTCTGGCCCTGCTGGGTAGCCACAGGATGGCAGCAGTCATTACACACCAGTCTCCACCAGCCTGTTTTCAGGCATGCGAGACTCATTTTGCCTGGGCCAGCTGCACCCAACTGGACACCCTGAGTGACTCCCTGTTCAGGGGAATCCATGCTCTGATTAGCTTAGGCCTGGGTCACCTGCTCCATTCTAAGCCTGTGAGGTGAGATGCACAGGGAGGATCCCAGGCAAAAATCAGGGGCTATTCTGGAAGCAAAGAAAATGGATTTGGGAGGCAGACAACACCCCCTGGGCACACTGCTCTTTGATCCACACAATGGAACCACTGCACGTGCCTTATAGCTGAGAAGCCCCCACCTATGTCAGCTTATTGAATTGCCCAGCAGCCCTGGGGACCAGGATATCATATCCCCATTTCACAGATGAGAAGACCAAGGCTCAGAGAAAGTTAAAATTTCCCCCTAAGATCACCTGTTTTGAAAGTGGCAGAGCCAGAAGACAAAGCCAAATTCAGACTCCAAATGTGGGTTTTGTCACTTTACTAACTTCCCAGTTCCCTGTTGTATCTCAGGCCTAAGAGAAGAGCAGGGGGAAAACCAGGAAGGAAGAAAAAGGCCCCGTACTGGTCAGTTCATTGCAATCCATTTAGTAGACTTCCTCCCGGCTTAGGTCTTTTTAGTTGTTTATCAACTATATTCATTTCCATATCACCTTTGTGACTCTGCCACTTGTATTTTCGTTTACTTATTTTTCTCAAGTCAACTCTGCCAGTGACCACGGTGCCATTTAGTCTGCCACGTGCATCCTGCCAGGCATGCCTGCAGTCTCCCTTGCACGTTCATTGATATCCAAGTGAGGGAAGGCAGAGCTCCTCTGGAGCAAAAGGCCTGGACACGCTTACCCCAAATGTTACAGCCTGGTCCGCATCCTCCCATCACAAGGCCACTGGTCCCTGGCACCGAGTACTCAGCCTCCCAGCCGGCTGGTGTTAGTCAAAGGAGGCCAAGCTTGCCCATGAGCCCCAGGCAGCCACACCTACGTCTGTGCCACTGTCATTCTGGCCAGCTGTTGCTCAGATGTCCGCTGGTGCCCTAACTCCATAGGAAGACAGGGGAGCTACCGACTCCAAGAGCAGGAAGGGCCTTAAAGAGCACCGGAAATGAGCCACTCACTGTACAGACAAGGAAGCCAGCCCTGAAGGCTCGTGTCTTCCCACATTAAACCACCATCCCGGGCAGATCCATCTCACTGTGAAAGCTAAATAAACTTTTTTTTCCCTAAAAAGATAAAGACACCTCTTAAGAATACATCTCAATTGTGTTATCTGTCTTGCCACATCACTGAAATTTGGGGTGTGCCGTGGCCAACAGGCCCGTGTCGACACAGATGGCCTCTGTTGGTATGGAGGCGACAGGCAGGCAGGGGTGAGCAGCCTGCGCTGCTCTCTGTTTCCTTCACTTGCAAAGGGCAGAGTTTCTAGCTGCAGTTAAAGACGCCCACTCGGGCCGGGCCGCCTTGGTTTGTGCAGGAAGGCGGGCGGGTGGCCACCGCCTGGTGACAGCGACTTCACGCGGCGGACCTCTGCGGCGCCCGGGCGGGCCTCGGTCTGGGCGAGGCTGCCACCGTGTGGCCGCGCGGGGAAGTCCTGGGGAGCTGCCGGCCGCGCATGCGCGTCTCAGCGCCTGGCCCTCCCGGCTCTCTGCACTGCGGTCCTCCGATTGAGGTTTTCTCCCGCCAGCCAGAACGGGAGCTGGAGATACCCACTAAACCCAGTTAGAGGACGATCGGGTTCTAAAGTTGCCGGCCGGGTCTGAGTCTTCCCCAGCGCACCTCCCGGGCGGAGCTCTGAGCCTCAACGGCGGCAGGCGGTGATCTCTCCTCTGAGGCAGGCAGAACTTGCTTACCAGTCTGGACAGTCCCAAGTCCAAATGGTGAAGCACACCCGAGTTGGGGCCTGGTCTCTCCCAGGCCGTCTTGCCAGGCCCTTCCCTGAGCGCTGCCCTCGTGCCAACTGGACGCGGCCCCCAGAGCTCCTGGAACCCTCTTCCTGCGGCCGTGGCCCTGCGCGGAGCAGGCGCCCACGAACGGCGGCGGGAAGTCGCCCCGTCTCCCGGGAGCCGGCCACTTCTCGGCCCGCTCTGACGCCACCAACTCAACCAGAGTTGAGACTGCCTGGACGTGCAGACACCTAGAATCTGAGAGGTGAAGGGAACTGTTTCTCCACCTCAGCCCGACATTTCAGGCTGGCTTATTCTCTGTTGTGGGGGGCTGTGTTTGCATAGTAGGCTGTTTAGAGGCACCCCTGGCTTCCACCCGCTAGATGCCAGGAGCACACCCCTCACCCAACTGTGACAACCAAAGGTGTCTCCAGACGCGGCCAAATTGGAGGGGAGGGGCAAGTTATGGAGCTGAGAACTTAGGGGACCCTGGACAGGTGCACTAGTTTCCTATTGCTGCTGCAACAAATTGTCACAAATATAGTGTCCTAAAACTACATGGATTTATTACCATGCAGTTCTGCAGGTCAGAAGTTCAAAATATGTCTCGTCTCTCTGGGCTAAAATCAAGGTGACAGCTGGGCTGGCTCCTCCTGGAAGCTCTAGGGGAGAATACATTTCTGTGCCTCCTCCAGCTCCCAGAGGCCACCTGCACTCCTTGGTTCATGGCCCCTTCCTCCGTCTCCAAGGCCAGCAATGGCTGATTGAGTCTTTCTCACGCTGCCCATTCTCCTGTAGTCAAATCTCTCTCTGCCTTCCTCATAGAAGGACCCACGTGATCACACTGGAGCCCTCCCAGTTAATCCGGGATAATGTCCACATCTCAAGATCCTTAACATATTCACACCCGCAAAGTCCCTTTTACCACATAAGGTAACACACTCACAGGTTCTGAGGATTCAGATGTGGCATCTCAGGAGGGCTGTTACTCATTCAGCCTGCCACAAGATGATGTGTAAATAGCTCCAGGACCGGGGAGCCAGTGCAGATGAGTCACAATGGCCAAAAAAGGGTGAAGACACACCCCTGAGCCCCCAGGAAAGAGACAGCAACTTCTGGATCCTGTGTGGCCCAATGTTCATCTGTAGACTGATGTGAACCCTCCAGCTTGCCAGTTTACAGACCCTGACTCACCAGACGCCAGGCTCTTCCCAGTCCTGGGACACAAGTCCACGTCACCCACCCGCCCCCTAAGGGAGACATTTCTAACAGTGAGATTTCAAGCTATGCATGAGGCCAGTGAAGTGTTTGCTCTCTAAGACTTTCTGGAACAAAATACCCAATGCTGGGATACCCTTAAAACCCTGAAAACCAGCCGGGCGCGGTGGCTCACGCCTGTAATCCTAGCACTCTGGGAGGCTGAGGCGGGCGGATTGCTCGAGGTCAGGAGTTCGAAACCAGCCTGAGCAAGAGCGAGACCCCGTCTCTACTATAAATAGAAAAAAATTATTGGCCAACTAATTATATTTAAAATTAGGCCAGGCATGGTGGCGCATGCCTGTAGTCCCAGCTACTCGGGAGGCTGAGGCAGCAGGATTGCTTGAGCCCAGGAGTTTGAGGTTGCTGTGAGCTAGGCTGATGCCACGGCACTCACTCTAGCCTGGTCAACAAGCGAGACTCTGTATCAAAAAAAAAAACCCTGAAAACCCTTGAAACCACTTCCTGAAAGCAAACCTGTTTGAGAGCCTGGTGCATAGCAGTGAGTATCCATCACCACTGCCAGACCATGAATCCAGATGCAAACTTCCAAATGACTATGCGTTCTTGGTGTTGTTCACCCTGCCTGAGCCTATCATAACTCCATTCAGATGGGATGAAAGGCCAGGCATTTAGAAAATGCAACCATTGCTACTGTAACACTAAAAGCTCAAACAACCAAACAGAAAATAGATTAGATTTTGTCAAAATTAAAATTGTGTTTCAAATGACACCAACAAGGTGAAAAGACAACCCACAGAATGGGAGAAAATATTTGCAAATCCTATATCCAATAATGGATTAATATCCATAATAGAATACAAATGGCTGATAAGAACATGAAAAGATGTCCAACACCATTTGTCATTAGGGAAATGCAAAGCAACACCACAATGAGACACCCACTAGGTTGGGTATATCAGACAGATGGACGGTGACAGGTATTGGCTGGGATGGGGCATAAATCGGAAACTTCATATGTGGCTGGTGGGAATGTAATATGGTACAGCCACTTTGAAAAATAATTTGTCAGTTCCTCAAAATGTTAAATGTAGAGTTACCATATGATCCAGAAATTCCACTCCTGGGTATATACCCAAGAAAACTGAAAATATATGTACACACAAAAACTTATGTAGGTATATGTATATATTCATAGTAGCATTATTAATAACTACCAAACACTGAAATCAATCCAAAAGTACATCAGCTGATGAAAGCCTAAATAAAACACTATACATTCATCCCATGGAATATTACTCAGCAATAAAAAGGAAAGAAATACTGACGATACATGCTGCAAACGTGGATGGACCTCAGAAAGAAGCCAGCTGCAGGGACCCCTGTTGCATATATGGCATGTCCAGCAGAGGCAGAGCTGTACAGGGAGAAGGCAATTAGTGGCTGCTGAGGGTAGGGGCAGGGGTGAGGGGAAAGGGAGAGACTGCTAACGGGTACAGGGCTTCTTTCAGGGGTACAGATGGTGGTAGCAATTGTACAACTCTGTAAATATACTAAAAATCATTGAATTATGTACTTTAAATGAGTGGACTTTATGGTTAGTAAATTATACCTCAATAGAGGCAGGAACATAGACAAACTGAATAATAAAAATGATTTCATAAAGACAATAACATGCAAACGCAAGCATTACAGACAGTCCCTGAACACACTGCATGGAAGGGGCCCCTGCACACAGCTCAGAACCGACACAGACTACGCCACGCTGGGAAGGGGGTGCCCAGAGCGCCAGGGTATCTCCTAACTCTGTGAGGTCAGTTTATTTGTCCTCAAATGAAGCCCTCAGAGCACATCGTTTTTCTTCCTTGAGAGGCTTGTTTTATTGAATAGCAACTTCATCAAACCTCTGAGACACTTTCTCATGTAAACACAAGACACCAACCATCCACTCAAAGAGCACAGTGTTCACAGCACGTGCGTCACACGGGAAAGGTTATGTGTGACATCGCACAGGCAGCACCCTCTCGGCTGCAGGCCTAACTTCACTTCTATGGCCTGTGCCTCCTTCACAGACAGCTCACCTGTAAGGGGCAGGGAGGGCTTCATAATATCTCCGCGTGGAGTTCTAAACTCTATTTCTATTTGATTAAAAACCTTTCCCCTTTTGTAATGGGTGTAAGAGAGATTTAAAAAAAAAAAAAAAAACTCCAGTAGAATGTTCCAGAAGAAACCCCTACAGAGAGAACAGAGTTTCCTTGAACCCACTAACCACACCTCACTTATATCCCCAGTACCTGGCATAAAGCTTGTCCCTGAGAAAGCACGATGAATGCTGTACGACAGGATGGATGGCTGGATAGATGGGTGGATGGATGGATGGATGGAAGATAGATAGATGGATGGAGGATGGATGGATGGATGGATGGATGGATGGACAGATAGATGGATGAACAGATGGACAGACTAGAAGATGGATGAACAGATGTATAGATAGGTAGATAGAAGGATGGATAGGTAGATGGGTGGATGGAAGGGTAGATGGAAGGAAGAAAGGTGAGGAAGAGAGGGAGGGCAGATAAATGGATGGGTGATGGATGGATGGAAGGGTAGATGGATGGAGATATGAATCACGGGAAAGATATATAGATTGAGAGGTAAATAGTTGGGAGATGAGTGGAAGGAAGGAAACAGGGAGGGAGGGGAGATGGATGGATGGATGGATGGACAGACAACTGGGTGAATAAGTAACAGAGGTCCTGCATATGTGTCTTCTGACTACACGGGAAACAGCAATAAAAAGGAAAGAAATACTGATGATACATGCTGCAACGTGGATGGACCCCAGAATTTGGGGCTTCTGGTGTCTCCTCACCACCCCAAGGCTCCAGGCCCCAGGAATGGCTTTATTACAGCCCTAAAAAGGTAAAAGCCTGTCCTCTGTCAACCTCTCCAGAATCCAGCTGCAAAAGAACAGACCCCTCAGTCCTGAGATGACCCCCACCCTCCATTCCCCACAGCTAATGAGGGACAGCCCCACGCTGGCACTGGGAACACAAGGGGCAGCCAGGCAGGCCCAGAGCTGACCCTGCAGCTGGAATACGCCAAGGACAGTCAGCGGGACCCACTGTGACAGGCCCTGGCTTCTCCAAAGTTGGTGACAAGCCATAGAGGGGATTGAGGCGTCTGTGCTGATGTGATCACATTTGTATTTGCCCCAAACCAGGGGCTGGAACGTGTGCTGTCTGCTTCAGGAGGGCCTGACCAGCTCTCTCTGGAAAAATCCTATTACACGTCGGCGAGGCTGGGCCCCAGTGCAGAGGGAGCACCGCCCCAGCTCTCGGGGAGCAGGTTCTGGGGCTCCACGAAGTGGCCTGGACTTGTGCCTTACCCTTGTGGAGGGCAGACCCTAGGGTGGGGTCCCCGGCTGGGCTTTGCATCCCCTGAGCTGCCGAGCACACGTCGCCAAGCCAGCCTCATGGGTATTTGAGAAGGGGGAAGCCAAGGTCACATTTGAGCCAAGCTGTCATTTTCAGTTACTTTAACTACCACATACCTTTCTGCTCGAGGCCACCAATAGGCTAGAAGGGCCATCAGCCCAAGTTCTCACGCAGTGGCTTCCCATCTGAATTAGGTGACGGCTGAAGCTGGCCTGGAGCCAGCTCTGCCTCCTGCACAGCAGGCCTGATGTGAGCTCAAGGCCTGCAGTGGGCACCAGCCAGCCCCAGCCCCTGCCCTCAGGGAGCTTCTGACGTGGCTGAAGCTTCCCTGGGAAAGGAATGTGTCTCCCTGGAAACCTCTTCGGTGTCTGTGTTCCCACAGTAACACCAGGCTGGCGTGCACGAACCTAAACGGGGTTTTCCTGGATCCGACAGGCACGGCCCCTCCCTGAGCTTGTCCCACTTACATAAGGAAAGAGGTAGATTCAGGAAAACATTCACGTGGTTCCAGGACAGTTGCACCAATTCTTTCTAAGGAACAGAAACCCTACTGGGCTTTGAATGAGTTTCTGAAATCTCTTGGAACTGCCAAGAAGTAACTTGAGAAAATAACTCCTCGATCCTATATAGTGTTTCATGCTTAACCTGGAACATTCTCAGGCTTTCTAGAACCTGAGCCCCACATAAGAGGACTGAGGTAGGTGGAGCTGATGTGGTCATTGTCTCCTCAAAGATGACAAGGAAGGCACAGCAAGGACAGGAGGCCAGCTCAGCTCCTGGCCACACACTGGTGCGGGGAGCCCAGGCCAGGCCTCTGCGCCCAGGCCAGACAGGTGTCTGGAGGAGTCAGGAACTGGGCCGTGGGAGCTTCCGCCATGGCTTCCCAGCCAGCCCCGCCACGGCTGCTGTCCTCTTGGCTTCCTGTGCCTTCAGCTCAGCCTGGCAGGGTCTCTCCAGCAGCCCAGCTTCCTCCTCTTTCACTCCACAATTTCGATCATTCTTTGTGTTTTCCAATTCTTCTCCACGGGTCCCTTCCTAAAGTCAGAAAAGAATTCACAAGGCATTCCAATTAAGCACTGTAACGTAACAGGTCACCCCAGACCATCCGGGGCTGGAATTCAGGACCTGCTGGTATCCTGGCTGGCTTGTCCATGCTGAGATTCAGAACAGATAAGCTGGGTTCAAAAGCCCCTGGCCAGCCACATGGAAACCATGTATTAAACATAAGAGTGAGTATTTAGTGAACAGAACGGAAGGACAGCTCAGCTGGGGGAGACCGGAAGAACGGGGCAAGGAAGTGTTAGTTTAAAAGTTGGTGCCCTGTGCTCCAACATGCAGGCTTCTCCACATACACACCCATGGCGTTACAAGACACCAGACACCTCTGCTTCCTCTAAAAAGCTTCCAAAGCTTAAGAGGAAAGTCAGGGGTCAGCGGAAGACGCCAAATTCAATACTCTGTTCAGTGCCTGGTCAGGTCTTAAGTTAGCCCATCTTTCCATGGCGACCCAAAGAAAATGAAAGCCCTCGTCTGCCAGATGGCTGGTATCAGACAGGAAGCAGCTTTCTAAAATGATCCAGCACTTACTGGGCTATTTTATGCCTTTGATGTTAAATATTCTATCCCAGAACAATTTATTTTCCAAAATAAGCAGTATTCCCCCACGATGTACAATTGTAAGTTTTGGAATTTAAAATAATTATCAAATCTTTAGGGATTCGAAAGCAAAGACCCTTCTGTACCAGAGGATTGTCACAATTACTTTGTGTGGATGAGTGCCCAGCTTGGCTTCAGGAAAACTTAAAATCTTATGAAGGACTGAATGACAACAAGCCACCAAGAAATATTCAGTAACCCTTCTTCCCCAGGACCTACTCTACAATCACTCTGGATTATACAGAAACCTAATACCATATGCATTTTCTTGCAATTTGAGCTTGCAGGGTGAGGGAGGGAAAAAAGACAAATTAGTCTTGCTTTTGTTCTGCTTGGAAGACACTGGTCCATGGCAGAATTTGAAATTCAGATTTTTCAATATTTCCTTAACGATGCATGGTTACAGCCAATTCCCATGTGTTCCCTGTTTCATTTTGGTTTCATTAGAGTTTGTCTAGCTTAGAGAAGAGAACCATGAAAAGTCTAATTACAAAGGCCTCTCCTCACATCACCCCTTCTCCCTGCATGGCCCAAATATTTCTAGTGTAAATCAACAGCCCACGACCACGCAGAAATCCACAGCCAAGTTGGCCAGGAGCTGCCTTACAGGTTCAGACAGTGGCTTCACTAAGCAAAGACAACGTGATTACTAAGAAAGCAAGAAGCTCATGGATGACACTTCATCACCGTACCTTGTTGCTTTCTCCATTAGCAGACTGTCTGGGTCCGTCACCCTGAGAAGGCTGTCCATGACCGTTCACGCCCTCCTCCTTCTTGGAATGTCCTGGGTGTGCTGCCCTCCCCAAGCAAGAGAAAAAGATAAACAAATGAGGGTGTCATCCAAGGAGCTGGACAATCAACAGGTTAATAATACACTGAGGACCCTTCTCAACATGCTGATGGCCACCACCCAATTTTATCCTTGACCCGAACTATGACACCAGCTACAGTTCTCTCCAGAGGAGGGGAAGACCTGCCAGATGTCAGGAGATGCCAAGTGGACGTTCTGCTCCAGCATGTCTGAGCTGGAATAGTGATCTGTTCTTCTCATGACTCAGGCATTCAATGGAGTGGGGTTTCCAGTTCGATTCCTAGGTCCTCCTCTGCTCACTGGGGTTTTTACTCACGAGAGAAGCCATAATGTTAATTCAGCCTCCTGCCCCTCCTACCAAATCAGTACCAACTTGGAAGAAAAAACCTCCTTGTCCTACTGTATGTCTCCCCACCCCCCACCCCCAAATCCGGCGGGGGGGGGGTAAGGGGGGAGGGTGTTCAGATCCCTAAGGAAAAAATATGCGGTTTTGCATTTGAGCTGAAAATACATATGTAACACATTTTGTTTACTAAGGAACAAATGTATTATTTAGTTGTTATCTATGTAAGTAAATTTTTAGGTTATTTACAGAACTGTATAAATTAGCAAAATGTGGTTTGGCAAAATTTAATTGCAAGTACTTAAAAATACCAGCATGCTTTAGTTCTCTCCGCTATGTAGGGTTTTTATATCAAACAGTAGTTGCCCATGCACTTAGCTCATAGATGAGTTCAGAAGCTTGGTCAGCTTCTTTACTGCTGCATCCCTAACACCTAGGACTGTGCCCAGTGCATGTGTGGGTGCAAATGAATGAAGGAATACATGAATGAATGAATGAGAGAACAAAGTAGGTATTGATTATCAATTTTCCACCTTTCCTGGTGTTTTTGTTATGCACTACATCATGTTAACAGCGGTCAAATATTTGTTTGTATTTTATTTCTAACCAATTAATATTTAGTAAATCTTTTAAAGTGAATGCACTAATTTGGAAGCGCAAGTGTTAAGTATATGAGAACCAACCACACAGGTTAAATTAAACATCCAGAGCTGCAGTCGACCACAATGGCCACTAGAGGGAGCAACACAACACGTCAAAGAGCAGCACCAGACAGAAAAAACAAGTCCAATGTGATGGTTTCACCCTCAGCACTTCCCAGCATGAAATTGCTATTGCTGCAAGACTGTATAATGCACGATTCACCAGAACAAGCTGAAACAAAGGCAGAACCGGAGTTTGCTAGGCATAAGACTCATATCTCAAAATTTTCACCTCTTTACATACAATCCCTCTGGTTTAAAAGTTAAATGTAAATGGAAGAAAAGATTTTTATCATTCCTGTGGATGACAATTAAATCCACTAAAAGTTCATCTGGAGGAAGAAAGCAAAACTGTGACCAATAAATTGGAAAAATAAAATTTTAAAGCAGTACTCCATTATTTCCTGCCTCCAGTAACATTTTTGTAAAAGAACATTTCACTGTTGATATACTCAATTTCATTTTCTACAGTAAAGAAACTTAAAGCGTATGCAGGCTGACTGGGAAATCACATCGAATGGAATTATGATCTCATTGGTCAAGTTTCAAAGGCATTGTATGTAACCGAGTGTAGGAAGAAAGAAATTTCCCACAAACTCTTCTCGAGAGGTCTGAATAATCTGTAAATATTTTCAGGGCCATGATAAGCCACAGATGTTACCAACAGCCAGGATCATGCAAACTTTTGATGACCTGGTCCATCAATCAGGCTGCTTCGAAAATAGATTTTAAACCATTTGCAAGGAGCACAAGTTAATTTCCCTTTGAAATGTTGTGAAATGTTTATGCCTTATTTAGAGTGAGCAATTGGTTCCACTGGGCTTCTTGCTTACAGTTCTATTTCTAAGGCACATAAAATTATAGGAAGACACAAGAGAAAGAACTCGAAAAACAGAACAAGTGAGGAAAGCAACTCTAAATAAAGACTAAGATCAAATTAAGTGGCCTAGTGAGATTTCCAGGGAAGAGAAGATTCCAGAATTGGCATTGCTTGGTGACCCGTGGGAAGTTCTAATCCACTAACACTTGCTGATTTCCATGAAGGGACAAAGAGCCTGGAAACTGAAGAACTGCAGAGCATCTGGGCTGATCCATGACCGAATCTGAAGCCCCTGCTCACCAATTTGGAAAAAAATCTGGGATGTCAGCACTAACTGTCATAATGGTTGCAAGATGAAGCTGGTTGGCTGAAAAACCTCCCTAAGTGAATTAAAATTCTGACTGCAGGCCCTCGGGGAGACAGAACGTGTGGGTGAAACTGGGACCTCGCCATGATTTGAACAGGGAGTGAAAAGTCCATAACTTAGAATTACTTTCTATAAAGTAGAGAGTTTAAGTAATCTAATTATACCCTAATTATAATGATGACCCTTCTTCCTTCAAGGGACTCCAGCGTGCTTCTGGAACATTCTCTGCGCAAGTCCCCTCATTTGCTGTTTTAAAGTGAGAGTTGGTGAATCTCAGAGTGAATTAAAGTGACAGGTTTGGCATGTGACTTCCAGCTCAGTTTCCTCTGACCAGACCACACTGACTCGCAGCTCTCAAAACAACCCCCGGTGGAATTCTCTGGGAGGCAGCCATCCTCCCAATTAGGGGGAAGCCTCCTCCCCCTGCTCACCCCCTCCGGCCTGTGCGATTTCCACATTCCGATATGCAATCTGTTTTCTTTTTCCACTCCCTGCCAAGGAACTGCAGCGTCCAAGCACAAAGGCCTTGCATGGGGGCCGCAGCCTCATTTGTGAAGCGCGTCCATAAACCTACACAGCTGGTCAGCTCGTGCCCGGGGTCTGCGCTCGCTCCCCTTCCTAACACAACGCCACAGGGCAAGTCACTTAGCCGCCTCATTAGGATCAGAGTCGCAGCCCCGAGAGGGCCCTTCCTGCCCCAGTGCCTGGTCCCCCCATTAGTGTCTGTAAAGATCCATTACGCTTTCTAGCTGAAAGGCACCATAAAAGCAAAACTGATCACTATTATCATCAATAAACTCCAAGCCACTCTAGCCTGTCACCACCTAAGGTACATCAGTCAGCACGTGGAGAGAATGCCTGGCACCTCCACTGCCCATCAGCCCCCTAACGAGCCACCCACGGCGGCAGAAATGGCATTTGATACTGACAGGAGCTCGCGTTCCAGGAGGGAAGGCAAGCCAAGGCTTTAATTTGGACAGTTAATTTAAACTGTTAGAACCTCCCGCGTCTCCCACCCACAGGCAGCACCTGCAGCCCGGGGGTGTCAGCTACCCCGGGCCTGGCCCGGCCTCACCTCTAGCACTGAGCCGAGGAGGGTCTGAGATCACTGTCAAAAAGCAACTTGTAAATCCAGAGAGGAGCCTGGCTGCATTCCCCTCCGGCCATTTAAAGGACTTCCCACCTGCTGCCTCCTCTTGAAACGGGCCACCTAAGTCCCTGTTCTCCTGCCTCGAAAACACCCTCCAGAGAACCCCCGCAGGCAAACCCACTGGGCCACTGTGTGGATTGACCAGAAACTGAAGATACTGCTTGCATCTGTCAACAGGGAAGTAAATAACAACACGTTCATACAACTCCCATGACATCATACTATGCTGCCCTTAAGAAGGACACAAGGGATGAGGCAGCAACTGGCAAAATGTCGTCTATGCAGCTCTGCTGTTTACGCAAGTGTGTGTCCCCCCGAAGACAGGGACGGGAGGCTTGCTTGTCACAGTGACCCCTTGTGTGTGTGTGTCTTTCAAATTGTCGGCCAAGTGCACATATTACCTATTCAAAATCATGCTTCCAACTGATCTTCAGTCAGGCAGAGGAAATTGGTCTTCTTTCTGTTTCAACAGTCCATTCTAATTGTAAAAGGGGAGCCCCTTGGTCCCGGGGAGCTTCTAATTGCCAAATTGGGAGCCTTTCGAGCGAGAGGGCGGGAAGGTGTGCTTCATTCAGGACAGGGTGCCACCCCGACCAGGGCCTCACTCCTCCTTTGTTTGCACAACAACAGAAATAACGTCTACGTGGGTCTCATTTGATCACAGCAAACTCATCTGCACCAGTTCCTGACACTAGAAACGACGAGGCCAAAGTGCACTGTTTGCAGCCGGACTCACCGTCTGGAAGTCCTGCCCGGAGAAGGTGAACCTTGAGCCAGATGCTGTCGCGCTGGCCCCAGGCCCCCGGGGGCTCCACCTCCCACAGGCGCCCTCGCTCCTCCGGCCGGGCCAGCAGGAACTGCCTGCAGACTGAGAGGAAGGCAGGCATGCGTGAGTTGGGAGGACCCCCACCCAAACCTGCTTCACACGAGGCCAGCCCTCTGGTGTCCCCAGACTCGGCCCACTCTGGTCCTTCCTGCAGCAGCCCTCCAGCCCCGCTCCCTGCTGGGACCCCCGAGGCACTCCAGCCCGCCGCGTGGACACACCCTGGTGGCCTGCTTACCTGTGCGTGCCCCTCCAACATCCCATCTGTGTGCGCCTGCTCCGGCTGCTGTCACAAAATACCACAGACCGGGCGGTTTAAACAACAGAAGTTTATTTCTCACAGCTCTGGAGGCTGGAAGTCCAAGATCAAGGTGTCCCAGGTTGGTTTTTCCTGAGGCCTCTGTCCTTGGCTCGTGAATGGCCATCTTCCTCTTGTGTCTTCACATGCCGGTTCCGTGTGCACATGTCCCTGGGTTTCTCTGTCTCTTCTTTTAAGCACACGAGTCATATTGGATTGGGGGCCCACCCTTATAACCTCATTTAAGCTTGATTATCTTTTTAAAGACCCTATCTCCAAATACAGTCACTCTGAGGGCTTCAACTTATGAATTTGGGGGGACACGATCCGGTCCATAGCACCGTCTCTCCTCCTTCCCAAGCCTCCTGAGCCCTCTCTCCCACGGAACCTTCCAGCTTATCCTCTGCAGACTCCTTGATTTCTAGAGACCCCTGAAGGCTTGTAGACTTTTATGCCCATGTTCTAGGGTGAACATTTTCACGTGGCAGTGTCCCAAATCCAGGAGAGTGGGAAGCTGCTCCTGGTCCTGCCAGTGCCCAGGGGGACTTCCTCAGGCCCTCTCTAGCATTTGCAGGGCCCAGAGCAAGAGCACAGATGGAAGCCTGCAGAGCTCCCTGCTAAGCACAGGCAGACCTCGGAGATATTGCAAGTTAGGATCCAGACCACTGCAATAAAGCAAGTGTCACAATAAAGTGAGTCACGTGAATTTTGGGGTTTCTCAGTGCACCTAAAAGTTATGTTTATACTACAGTGTAGTCTCTTAAGTGTGCAATAGCATTATATCTAAAAAAATGTACATACCTTAATTTTAAAAATATTATAATTTAGTGCTCAAAAAAATGCTAAGGATCATCTGAGCCTTCAGTGAGCCCTAATCTTTTTGCTGGCAGAACATCTTGCCTTGATATTGGTGCTGCTGACTGATCAGGGTGGTGGTTGCTGAAGGCTGGGGTGGCTGCGGCCATTTCTTAAAATAAGACAAAATGAAGTTTGTTGCATAAATTGACACTTCCTTTCACCAAAAGATTTCAGTAGCACGTGATGCTGTTTGATGGGATTTTACCCACAGGAGAACTTCTTTCAAAATTGGAGCCAGTCTTCTTCAACCCTGATGCTGCTTTGTCAACTAAGTTTATCGAATATACTAAATCCTTTGTTGTCATTTCAAGAATGTGCACGGCATCTTCACCAGGAGGAGATTCCATCTCAAGAAACCGCTTTCTTTGTTCATCCAGAAGAAGCAACTCCTCGTCCATTCAAGTTTGATCGTGAGATTGCAGCAATTCCATCGCCCCTTCAGGCTCCGCTTCTAATTCTAGTTCTCCTGCTGTTTCCACGGCATCCGCAGTGACTTCCTCCACTGAAGTCTTGAACCCCACAAAGTCACTCATAAGAATTGGAATCAACTTCCTCCAAACATGTTAATGTGGATCTTTTGACCTCATCTCATAAGTCACAAATGTTCTTAATGTCATCTAGAATGATGAATCCTCTCCGGAAGGTTTTCAATTTACTTTGTCCAGATCTGCCATAGGAATCACTATCTATGGCAGCTACAGCCTCATGGAACGTATCTCTTAAATACTAAAACTTTAAAGTTAAAATTACTGCTTGTTCCATGGGCTGCAGAATGGATGTTGTGCTATCAGGCACGAAAACAAGATTCATCTCCTTGTACATCTCCATCAAAGCTCTTGGGTGCCCAGGTGCATTGTCAATGAGCAGTGATATTTTGAAAGGAATCTTTTATTCTGAGCAGTAGGTCTCAACAGGGCTTAAAACATTTGGTAAACCATGCTATAAACAGATGTGCTGTCATCCCAGCTTTGCTGTTCCATTTCTAGAGCACAGGTCTAGTAGCTTTAGCATAATTCTTGAGGACCCTAGGATTTTGGGAATGGTCAATGATCATTGGCTTCCACTTAAAGTCACCAGCTACATTAGTCCCTAACAAGAGAGTCAGCTTGTCCTTTGAAGCTTTTAAGCCACGCATTGACTTCTCTCTAGCTGTGAAAGTCCTAGATGGCATCTTCTTTCAATAGAAAGCTATTTCATCCACACTGAAAACCTTTTGTTTAGCGTAGCCACCTTCATCCATGACCTTAGCTGGATTTTCTGGATGACTTGCTGCAGCTTCTACATTAGCACCTGCTGCTTCACTCGCAAGTGTCATAAAGATGACTTCTTTCCTTAAACCTCATGAACCAACCTCTGTTAGCTTCAAACTTTCCTTCTGCAGCTTCCTCGCCTCTCTCAGCCTTCACTGAATTGAAGCGAGTCAGGGCCTTGCTCTGGATCACGCGCTGGCTTAGGGGAATATTGTGACTGGTTGGATCTCCCATCCAGGCCACTCAAACTTCCTTCATATCAGCAATAAGACTGTTTTGCTTTCTTATCATCTGTGTGTTCACTGGAGTAGCACTTTTAATTTCCTTCAAGAACTTTTCCTTTGCATTCACAACTTGGCCAACTGCTTGGTGCAAGAGGCCTAGCTTTCAGCCTATCTTGGTTTTAGACAAGTCTTCCCTCACTAAGCTTAATTATTTCTAGCTTTTTATTTAAAGTGAGTGACATGTGACTATTCCTTTCACTTGAACACTTGTAGGGTTATTAATTGGCCTAATTTCAATATTGCTGTGTCTCAGGGAGTAGGGAGGCCCAAGCAGAGGGGGAGAGATAGAGGGAACGGTCAGTGAGTGGAGCAATCAGAACACACCACATTGACCTACTAAGTTAGCCGTCTTATATGGGTGCAGTCCATGGCATCCCAAAACAATTGCCATAGTAACATCAAAGATCACTGATTGCAGATCACCATGAGAGATACAATATGACCAAAAATGACCAAAAAGTTTGAGATATTGAGAGAATTACCAAAATGTCACACAGAGACACGAAATGAGCACATGCTGTTGGAAAAATAGTGCCAAAAGACTTGCTTGACTCAGGATTGCCACCAACCTTCAATTTGTAAAAAACGCAGTATCTGCAAAGCACAAATAAAACGAGGTATGCCTGTATTTGAAAGGTATAAACCAAGCTAGCAAAGTCCTAGATCGTAGACACATTCTGCCCTCCTATCTGGATAAATATAGCTTCCTGACAACAGGGAAAGCCAGTTTCAAATTTAGAATTCCTGGACTCCTTGAAGTTTTGCACCAGAATGCAACAATACCATTGAACTGGCCCCCAGCCAACAGCCCACCCCTCTTCCCTCCCACCCCAGACTCCCCACACCCCAAGGGGCTGCACACACATGTGGCTGGAGCACACACACTCCATCCACAGCCCACCAACAGCTGTCCCTGGGCTGTGCAAACCGGCGGTGTGGCCCCCTCATGAGCACAGATGCAGGAACAAGGTCCCCTCACGCCCTCAGCAGCCACTGGCAGAAATCTGGGGTCCCAGTACTCTGAGCCTATTTAGGAGTGCCATGGACACAGGCGGACACATCCCTTGGGTCCATGGAGAGGGACACAGCTGAAAGAGGGCTGGAAGCACGGAGCCCAGGGCAGGAGTCCCTCTTGTGCAGTAGGAAGGCAGGACTGCACTCAATCACTAAGCCTGACAGGGACACCAGGGTGGCTGAAACCCTGAGAGAAGAAGCCTCAGAATCAGCACCTTCACATCTTCCTTCTCTACAGGCAGAGACTGAGAAGGGACAGCCCCCGAACTTGCAGCCTGCTGTCCCCTGGGGAAATGGCTCTTCAGCTCCCTTGACAAGACAACCCTAACCCCTAAGGCAGCCTGCAGAGGGGGGCAGGGGGCGCAAGTCAATCAGTCAGAGCTCTCAGAACTGAATCAAGAACACAGGGACTGGGACTGGTGGGCCACTGGTATGGACAGGGACCGGCCGCCTGGGCTCTGGAATGCTCCAGCACCTGAGAGTGAGCTACACGGTGCGGCAAGCCTCAAGCACTCTTTGCAGAAACTCAAGGCTCTTCAGGGTTTAATAACAGACTAAGAGTTTGAAAATATAAAGAAACGACTAAACCCACTTGAGGAAAAGTATCTTTTCATTTTGACTTCAGAGCAACAGAAGGCTCCTTGCCTTTCCTAACTTTTTGCTCCAATCTATTATACCAGAAGGACACTGGAAACTCAATAGGAAGGATTCAAAAGCACCTGCACACCAAGAAGCGAGGCAGGGCACAAAGCGGGGTGGGTGTGCTTCCGCGATCCCGGACAGCTGCTCTCCAGGATCTCCCGCCGTGTGGCCTGGAGTGTGGCGTTCAGCGTCAGAGTTTTGATCCTCCTCTGGCAAATGCGTTATCAGGATTGTGGGAGGCAGCCGTCTCGGGCAGTAAGAGGTGCTGGGAAACTCAGCACATTCAGAGCTTGCCTTTCCGAGCGGTTCCTGCCTTTCCTTCAGTTCCCGGGCTCTCCCGCAGCTTCAAGTTCAAAGGACAAAGTGAAGAGCCATACGCTTCAAATGAAAGAGCGAGGACACTCCGAGGCCCTGCAGCAGTCTGCAGCGTGCCAGCAGCTATCTGGAGTCACCTCCTCTCTGAGGTTGTTGATTCAGCTTTGATTGTTTCTAAATCCAATTATTTCTCAGCTTGGGAAAGCTTCTTGCGATCAAACATGAAGTCTCGGCTTGTGCTGAACCGATGGGAGATTTCTCGGAAGGAAGGAAAACCCCGTGTGCGTGTCCCCATGCCAAGGCCTGCATCTGCCCACAAGGGCTCTCCGGAACCTCCCTCCCCTGAATGCACACGTGCTATCCATCACTGTTACCCAAATGCTTCCACGCAACACCAGGTGGGTTTACCTTGGTACATGGCAGGAGAAATCGGGCAACTGATCCCTAGGGCCTCGTCCTCTGGGAACGTCTCGCAGAAGTCCTGCAGCATGACCATCCCCAGGCCTTGGCGACGGTGTTTCCTCCTGACAAACACGGTATCGAAGACAGGCAGCAGGTAGCACGCACCGGTGCCATCGCCACACAGGCTGCCTGCGGGGAAAGCAAGGCATGCACGCTGTCCCCTGGGCCTGCTGCTGACCCACCACCACCCTGCGGGGCCCCTGCACAGCCAGAGCCATGCGTGGCACCTGGAAGCAAGGTGAGCGTCACAAGCTAGAAAGCCGATGCTAAAGTAGCAGATCACTTCAAACCACCAGTTCTCCAGTTGGCTGATGAGTTTTCTTTAAAATCTCATGTTATTCATTGCTACAAGGGCAACCACTACATCACTGGACTGAAATGAGAAACGAACCTGGGAGGCTAAAGCAGAGCAAGGCCGCTCAGGCACCTGCCTCCTCAGATCACTCTCCTCACCGGGCATGGCTGGCTGAGACCCTTGGGGCCAAAGAGCAGTATCTGGACGACACCAGAGGTCTCCCTGCAGGAGTGAAACCTGACATCAGGGGATGTGGGCTAGGAGGCCATCCCGGCCCATCATCTCTAGGGTAGGAACTTGTTTCAGTAGCTCTAACAAGGGCTCCCTGTGTCCAATTCCAGCACCAGGCCCTGCTTCCCATGAAACACGGATGACCTTGCTGAGCACAGCAAGAGAGGTGACAGCTGGCAGCCTCCCGGCCTTTCCACCCTGAACCTGACCACAACCAAGATCAACACCAGCACAACTGCCATTTCTGCAGTGGAAACTTGGCCTCACTTCTGTCATCGCCCTAACCAGAGAATCAATTCCCAGTGAAACCTACTACCTCACCTTCCACTGCACAGGTGCCCGGGCCCTGGATGCAGAGGAACGGGAAAACGAATATGTAGCATATTCAGCTCCTGTGGGGAGAGATGGTGTTTGTCCCTGCCAAGATTCAGAAAGTGGCTAACTTCCAAAACAAAACAAAAAAAAATGACTCGGATTCTAATAAGCCAAACTGAATTGCAACAATACGTACTACTACAGTAATTTGTGTGCAAAAACGGCCACAATTATTTCCCTCCTGTATCCACAAATGATTTTGAATCTGATTTTGAAGCTCCTCCCATCCAGAGATGGGGTCGGTTTCCCCTCACCTTCAGTCTGGGCTGGCCTTGTGATGCGCTTTGACTTTGACTAACAGAATGAGGCAGAGTGACCGCATGACAGTTCTAAGCCTGGGCTCCATGGGATCCTGTGCACCTCTACTCTCTCTCAGATCCCAGTGACACACCACGAAAGCCAGCCCAGGCTAGCCTGCTAAAGGAATGTGGCCCAGGCACTCCTGTAGTCCCAGCCAACATCTAGCCAGCCCCAAGAAGCAGAGCCACCTACCTGACAGGCAGGTCCCACGGGCACACGGCAAGTCCAGCTAGACTAGAAATACACCCAGCTGAGCCCAGCCCAAACTGCCAACCAAAAGAACTGTAAACTACATAAACGATTATTAATTTATGCCAAACATAAATTTAAAAACAATCTATGGCCAACAAAGAACCTCAATTCACTTGAGACAAAACTATAGTGATGGAGAATAAACCGGTGGTTGCTAGGGATAAAGTTTTTTGGGGGGCCGGGCGCGGTGGCTCACGCCTGTAATCCTAGCTCTCTGGGAGGCCGAGGCGGGCGGATTGCTCGAGGTCGGGAGTTCGAAACCAGCCTGAGCAAGAGCGAGACCCCGTCTCTACTATAAATAGAAAGAAACTAATTGGCCAACTAATATATATAGAAAAAAATTAGCCGGGCATGGTGGCTCATGCCTGTAGTCCCAGCTACTTGGGAGGCTGAGACAGAAGGATCGCTTGAGCCCAGGAGTTTGAGGTTGCTGTGAGCTAGGCTGACGCCACGGCACTCACTCTAGCCTAGGCAACAAAGTGAGACTCTGTCTCAAAAAAATTAAAAAAAAAAAAAAAAAAAAGTTTTTTGGGGGGCGATGGGAGGGAATGATGAAACTATTTTTATTTTTATTGCCGTTGTGGTTATATGGATCTATACATGGATTAAAATTCATAGAACTTTAAAGTCCCCCCAAGAGTCAATTTCACTCCATGATAATTTTTTTAAATAAGATTTAAAGTCACAGGCACATAAGAAAGGAATGTGCTAAGATGCTTATAAACAATGTACACTCTTCAGTAGGTAAAATCTGGCCCCTGTGATCCTATTTATGCAATGAATTTGGACATTTTGTTTTCCTCACAGGATGAAATTATAAATATAAACCTATATATTCAGCCTAGCCCAAGCTAAGTTAACAGATATTCTGAATCATATGGATCTAAATTTAGGAAAAGAAATTGTCCTGCTGAAACGTGGAGAAGGATGCCATGTGCTGTGCCCATATCCTAAGCATCAACATATTATATAACACTGTGACAAGCACCAAAAACAGAACCAGGACTGCAGAAACATCATTAACAGCTCCGAACTTCTGAATGATGAGCCCCTCCTATAGTCAATTAAACCCCACGTATTCAATAGTGAATTTTCATAAATTATACATGCAAAATAATAAAATATTATAAAAATATATCTAACCACCATCTAAACTAGTTTTGTTTAATTTACCTGCATGCCACTAATAGCAAGCATTTTTTAATTTATCTAAAAAATAAAGCGCTCTCTCAACTTACAAAAACAGATGGGAAGGCAAGGATGAAATTCTATGACCTGTATCTAATCAGAATCTCTCTTAGGTAATGGTAGTGGAATGAAGTGGTCACGCAAACCCTCGTATGTAACAACTCTTTTAAAATAAATTAGAAAAATGTTTAAAGACACTGCAAGGCATCCAAAAGCAGATAGAAGCCAGGGGAAAATTTAATTTCAGAAAATTGCAACTGGAATAGATAAAATTTGTGAGTTTGCGGCTTACCAGCCACAGGGTATAATTCCACCCCCCAATGCTACAGAAAACATTGCTGTGAAAAACCACAGCCTTAACAGCTAAATGTGTCAGATATCAAATTCAGCACTGAGAAAGAAGCAGAAATTTAGAGAGGAAGTCCTGGCAGCATGAGAACCACACAACGAGTGAGACTCAAACTCAGAGCATAAACTTCCCAAATCCTTGGCTTATAGCTAACCTCCAAGTGAGTGAAGGAGACCCCAAGGGACCCAGCAAAAAAGAAGTCAGAGACCAGAGAGACATCCATTCTTGAAAGATGGTACTACCCAGGATCAGATCTGTGAATTTGACACTTCCTTTAATCAAAGATGTTCCTCAACATGGACAGTTCTAGTGGCACAAAGCTGAAGCCAAATGGTTTGAAGGGTCAGAGTACAGAGTTCAAAACTGGCAGAAACAAGGAAACTCTAGAAAAAGTCAGCCACACCCATGTCCAACTCTTTGTCTGACCACCAATTCTGCAGGCACAGGGAAGAGCCATACGGGGCCATGCTAAAGCAGCAGCCATGGGGAGCCATACAAACAGATCTCAACAGCTGCATATCACAAAGGAGACCAAGTTTGCAGTTTGAATCCAGGCAAGTTAAATGCCTACTAGAACAAAAGTCCAACAATCCTCAGAAAACACAAAAGAACTCAGTTGCTTCAATATACTGGCAACAATTGGTTTTCAACCGAAAATTATTAAACATGCAAAGAAACAAAGAAAAGGTGTGACCCATACTCAGGATAAAAAGGTGATCAATATAAATGACTTCAAATAGGCCTAGATATTACCAGGTAAGGATTTCACATGAGCTTTGCAATTATGTTCAAGGAATTAAAATAAAATAATTCAAAGAGTTAAAGAAATATATGTTCAATGAATAAATGTATAGAGAATCTCAACAAAGAAATGAAAACCATACATACAATAGAAATTCTAGAGCTGAAAAGTACAATAAACTAAATTTTTCAATGGGCTCAGCAACGGATTATAAATGACAGATGAACCTGAATGTAGATCAAGAGAAATTACCTAACCAAAGGAGAGAGAAAAGTGTTTAAAGAAAAATAAAATTTCAGAGACCTGGAAGACAATACGAAGCACCCAACATACATATAGCTGGAATCCCAGAAAAAGAAGAGAGTAAGTGGCATAAAAAATGTTTGAAGAAATGATGGCGAAAAATTTCCCAAATTTGGTAGAAAACAATGATTTACAGATTCAAGAAACTCAACAAATCCCAAAAAGAACAAACAAAAAGAAAAACCACTCCTACATTGCTATGGTTTGAATGTGCGACCCCTCCAAAATTCATGTGCAAACTGAATCCCCATTGTGACACAATTAAGAGGTGGGGGCTTTCTAGGAAGAAATTAAGGCATGAGGGATCTGCCCTAATGAGTGGATTAGTGCCAGCAACTTGATCTTGGACTTCCCAGCCTCTAGAACTGTGAGAAATAAATCTCTGTCACTTATAAATTACCCAGTCTCATGTAATTTTTTATAGCAGTATAAATGCACTAAGACATAGACACATCACAGTCAACTGTAAAAAAAAAAAAAAAAAAAAGACAAAGTCTTGAAAGCAGTCTAATAAAAATGACACATTGTATATGAAGGGACAAAAATTAGAGTAATGGCTAACTTTTCACCAAAATTATAAAGCGGCCCGGGCATGGTGGTTAATGCCTGTAATCCTAGCACTTTGGGAGACAGAGGTGGGAGGATTGCTTGAGGCCAGGAATTTGAGGCCAGCCTGAGCAAGAACGAGACCCCATTTGTACAAAAAAATAAGAAAAATTAGTGGGGCATGGTGGTATGTGCCTATAGTCCTAGCTACTCGTGAGGCTGAGACAGAGGATCTCTTGAGCCCAGGGGTTTGAAGTTGCAGTGAGCTGTGACGATGCCACTGCAGTCTAGCCACAGCAACAGAGCGAGACTCTGTCTCAAAAAAAAAAAAAAAAAAAGAAAGAAGGAAAGGAAAGGAAAGGAAAGGAAAAAAGTTATGAAAGCTAGAAAATATCAGAGCAACATATTCAAAGTGCTGAAAGGAAAGACACTATCTCTAATAATTCCATATTCAGATAAACTATCTTTCAAGCATGGAAGTGAAATAAAATAAAAACATTTTCAGTAAAACTAATAGAATTTGTTGCCAACAGAACTGTACTACAAGAAATGCTAAGCAAATTATTTTAACCTGAAGGAAAATGACCACTGGATGGCAACTTGGACCTATACCAAAAAAAAATTTTTTTTTCACAGTAAATATATGCAGTAAAGGTAAATATTTTTAAATTATCTGTTTTTTCTTTTTTTAAAATATCTTTTAAAAACATGACTACTTAGTAAAAATTATAAAGCAGAATTGATAGGCTTACAACATAAACAGAGATCTAATATATAATAATAGCTCTATGTAAATAAAATGAGGGATAAATAAAAATACAATGCTGCAAAGGCTTCTATATTTTACCTAAAGTAATTCAATATTATCTAAGTAACTTGGGATAATTTTATGAAGCATATGGAATCCTTAGAGCAAACAACTTTAAAAAATGCAAAAAGATAGAGATAGACAGGAGGGTCACTTGAGCCCAGAAGTTCAAGGCTGCAGTGAGCTATGAAAGTAAAATGAAATATTAAAAATATTTGATTAAAACAAAAGAAGACAGAAAAAGCGAAACAAAAGAACAAAAAGATGACATGAAATAAGTTTCAAAAGGGATGACCTAAGTACAACCATACCAATAATTAAATGTAAGCAGACTAACTTCCAATCAAAAGATAGAGACTGTTAAGACTAGAGTCACAATCTAAGACCCAATTGTATCCCATCAAAAGAAAAATGCTTTGGCTGGGCGCAGTGGCTCACGCCTGTAATCCTAGCACTCTGGGAGGCTGAGGCGGGAGGATTGCTCGAGGTCAGGAGTTCGAAACCAGCCTGACAAGAGAAGACCCGTCTCTACTATAAATAGAAGAAATAATTGGCCAACTAATATATATACAAAAAATTAGCCGGCCATGGTGGCGCATGCCTGTAGTCAGCTACTCGGCAGGCTGAGGCAGCAGATTGCTTGAGCCCAGGAGTTTGAGGTGCTGTGATAGGCTGAGCCACGGCACTCACTCTAGCCTGGCACAAAGCAAGACTCTGTCTCAAAAAAAGAAAAATGCTTTAAAAGACATAAGTAGACTAAAGGTAAAAAAGTAAAAGCTGGAAAATATATCTCATGTAAACAGCAAGCATAAGAAAAATGAAGTATCTATATTAAAAAGACAAAGTAGACTTTATAACAAGAAATTACTGGAGATAACTGGGTATACATCATGATGATAAAATGGTCAATATATCAGGTAGCTATAACAATTATAAACATAGATGTGACTAATAAAGCTTTAATACAAAAGAAACTTGACACAATTAAAGGAAGAAAGGGATGAATCCACAATCACAGGTGAAGACCTTAACAGACTTCTCTCAGAAACTGATATAACTGGACAAAAGTATTGATAAGAATGTAGCTATGAATGACACCGTCAATCACCTTAAGCTAACTGACAGTTCTGGGACACTACACCCAAGACCTGGAGAATATACACACTCTTTTAAATCCACATGAGATGTTCACAGAGACCACATACTGGACTGTAAGACAACTCTCAATAGTTTTCAGAATATTAAAATACAGCCAACTATACTCTGTCACTGCAGTAGAATTAAATTAGAAATCAACAAAAAATAAAACACCTGAGTTAGCCCCCAGATATCTGGAAATTAGAAACTCACTTTTAAAGACCCATAGAAATCACAAAGTAAATTAAAAAATATTTTCAACTAAATAATAATAAAAATTGATAAATTAGACTTCATCAAAACTAAAAACCTCTGCTCTCTGAAAAAAAGAATCACCAAAATAAAAAATCTTTTCAAACATATATCTGACAAAGAACTGCTAACTAAAATATATAAAGAATTCTCAAAGCTCAGTAGTAAGAAAACAAACAACCCAATTTTAAAAATGGGCAAAAATATTTAAAGACACTTCATCAAACAAGATATATGAACAACATATAAGCACATGAATACATGTTCAATAGCATTCATCATTAGGGAAACACAAATTAAAACCCAAATTAGATATCACTTCACTTTGTAGAATGGCTAAAATTAAAAATACTGACAATACCAAGTACTGACAAGGAAGATGAACAATTGGAACTCTTCGTACATTGCTGGTGGTAATACATATAATGATTCCAGGGAAATATTTTTATTTTGTCTCTCCAAATATACGTTAATCCAGAAATAGACAGTAAAATATTTTAAGCTGGCAATTATATATGAAAAGTGTATTTTCTTTCTTTATTTAATTTTCTATAGGCTTGAAACTTTTCAAACCAACTACATCATCGAGTAACTAAAAATCAATTGTCACTTTTAAAAAACAGCTCGTTGATGTAAACAACGTGACTTAACTAGCAGCTTCAGAGAACTTTCCACTGAATTTGTGGAATTCATCGGAAATGAAGATGCGCAAATTCAAGCACCTAGTCTGATCTGCCTCAGCTCAGCACCTTCAAGTCCTCCTTCCACTGCCAGGCTCTGAGTTTGCCTGAGGAAGAACAGGGTAGGCACAGACCACCTCTGCCTCCTCTCCCCGGGCCCGGGAGGCCTTGGTATTGCTGCCCCCAGAAACAGCAGCAGGAACAGGCAAGACCACAGTCAAGCTCCTTCTGCGCCCTCCATGCCCGTCGTTCCCACACACCCAGCTGGAATCTGTTAACGGTTTTTGTTACTATTGGTAGGATGGTTCTGTTACAGATTCAAGACCAGCCATTTGGTAGGAAATGACAACTAATGAGTCTCCCAGGAAGGAAGAATTACGAAAAGGTTCCCTTCCATTTTAATTATTCTCCAGGCCAGTTGGTCTATCTTAACGACTGCAGGACATGACCACTCGGAAAAAGTGGAGTGGCACATCAAAATCAAAGGGCAAGTGGCTACCATGAAGAAAGGAGGTGAAAGACTCAGGTGCCTCTATGACCGAACTTGACAAATAATGAATAATGAATGAATAATAAATATAGACACTTTGAAAAAAAGTGAGACGTGCAGAGTTAGTCCATCCTGGACAGGTAGAGCATACACACGACGTGAACATGGCTCCAAACCAAGCTCAGCCTCTTCCTCCCCTGAGAAAAACACGTAACTCAGAGAACAGTTCATCCATGGTGGCTTACTGGGAAAATTAATTTTTGCTAAAACTGACAAATTTATAAGAACCAAATGCTAGGGCTGGGACCCGCTGGGTGAGAGATGTTGACAGCCTTTAAAAATTACACCTGTAGACCCAGCTACTCTGGAGGCTGAGGCACAATGATCACTTGAGCTCAGGCATTCAAAGCCAGCCTGGACAACAGAGCAAGACCCTGTCTCTCGAAAAAGAAAAAGAAAAAAAAATTAAAGAAAGCAAATTTTAAAGAGAGACCAATCCCTTCAGTAAAATGGTACTAGTTCCACATTTACCACTTGTCACTGACCCTCAAGTCACAATCTTTTACCCTAACATCGTTATTGCCGGACTCCCTCTCTTCTGAGGTAATGTCTATAAATCTTGGCATCCAGTGTGCTTTCACTCCACAGGTCAGCTATTAGCGATAGTATTTTTCCTGACAGCCAATTAATAACGTTAAAGGAAAAAAATGAAAGAGCAACGTGCTTGCAAAGCCAGTTTACATCATTAACTGCAGCAAGTTTCTAAAGGGGGACATGGCACTGTCTGGGAATCAAAGGGACACGCTTTTCACCCTGTTTGCCAGTGAGACGAGAAATGTGGTGAACATGAAACCCACACCTTGGGTTTATCTACACCACAGCTTCATTAGTGATGCTTGCTGTGCCAGAAGATTCCCTGCAGGTAGCATTTGCGCTAAGGGAGCCCTCCAAGCCCAGGCTCTCTCTCTAGAGAGCCCGCCCTCACCCCCAGCCTCAGATGGCCCTGGCCTGTCCCTCACCTTTCATTTTGATTGTGTAAAATCCAACAGCTGCTCCGTGTCTCCACAGAATTTTAGCTTGCTCCTTCGCAGAGTGAGGTAGAAAAAACATGTCGTCATCATCCAAATTTCTCTCCAATCTTCCAAAAATAATGACATTCAGGATGAAAAGCACAATCCTTTCCCCAAATGACTGAACCTTTGAGGAGGAAGAAAAAAAAAAAAAGGAACAACAACAATCAAGTGAGACTAGAGAGGAAAATCAGACACGATAAATTTTGTGCTTGGATTGAACCCACATGTCGTCGGGGCCAGGTGTGTGCTGCGCCATCAGAGGACACTTTTTGTGCTCAAGAGCCAACGTGTGAATCATGGTGTCTCTCAGAGTTTTCACACCACTGACCGGAGCGGCCTCCAGGAGCGAGGAACGATGCCAGAGGAGGCTCCCGGGTCCCCAGGGCCCTGGACATGGAATGTCAGTGCACAGAGCACAGTCTCACGGTAACGAAACAGGAGGTTAACGGCAGGAGGGCCAGGGCATTTCCCGCATTTCAGCAGATTCTCACTGGACATAAGTCCTGAAATAAACCCAATCTGCCATTTTTACAACAGCAGGGGCCCGGCCCTCAGGAGGTGGATCCACAACTGGGGCGATTGATTTTCAAGCAACTGATTTTCAATGGCTTGTGACAGATTTGGAACCAACACTGGAGTCCCCATTCCAGAGAATCACCAGGACCCAAGGCCCACCCTGTTCTAAGGCTGTGAAATGGAACCTTCTCCGGCCCACAGCGACATCATCACAAGTGAGGAAATTAAATTGTGGTCAAAGTCAGGCCCACACAGAGTTAAAAGCTTTCTCCTTCACAAGCCGAAACGACTCCATGCTTCTGCCTGTTAAAGTTCTCTGCATTTGTGTAGCCCACAGATGGCACTATGGGGCAGAAACCAAGGCCCCCGGCTCCTGTCCTCATAGCAGACCTAGCTCTCTGGCTGAGCCTAGACATGGTCTCAGAATCCTCCTAAATGCAGCCCTCCAGGCAGCCACGAGCAACTGCTAAAATGTGGCACGGTAGATGAAACCAATCAGCCATTTGCAAAGTGACAATACTATCGAATTGGAGTTTACTCGAACAACACTGCCATGTGACAGTCTGTGCGTTCGTGTGTGTTTGTCACCTCATCCCATGCATCACCACCAGATCAACAATGCCACTGACTGGGCTGTGACTTCCATCCCCATGCTACCATTTGATTCTCACCACCCACCGGGGAGGTCCCGGCTCATAGGTGAGGAAATTGGAGTTCAAAGAGTTAGGGAAGTGATCGCATTTATTGATTTCCCTGCCTCATTGCAAAGAGGACTTGAGGCAGCTAGAGCAAGGCAAGCTCAGGACGGTAGGCCAGGGCTCCTGTGTCCGGCCAGTGGCTCCCCTCCTCATCTTCATCCACCAGAAGTGAGATTATGGGAAAGGGGAAGTTTAATACAAATATTAATGCTTGGTTTTATATTTAATAGTTGGCCCTTGATCAGGTACAGTGGCTCACGCTTGTAATCCTAGCACTCTGGGAGGCCGAGGCAAGTGGATTGCTCGAGGTCAGGAGTTCAAAACCAGCCTGAGCAAGAGCAAGACCCTGTCTCTACTATAAATAGAAAGAAATTAATTACCCAACTAATATATAGAGAAAAAATTAGCTGGGCATGGTGGCACATGCCTGTAGTCCCAGCTACTCGGGAGGCTGAGGCAGCAGGATTGATTGAGCCCAGGAGATTGAGGTTGCTGTGAGCTAGGCTGACGCCACGGCACTCGCTCTAGCCTGGGCAACAAATCGAGACTCTGTCTAAAAAAAAAAGAAAAAAACAATACTTGACCCTTAAATATCATCATCATCATCATCACTTGTGGCTGTGGGTTCTTAGTGTGGATTTGCTGGGAGATCTTCAGCAACTCACAACCTCTGTGAGCCTCAGTTTCCTCCACTGGTCAAGGGAGAATATCACTTAAGTGGTTTCTAAAACACTTGCATGTTTTTCAAATGCTCTGATTATAAAAATAAGGCAGCTTGCAGTCCCCTAGCAAATGGCACAAAGTGTTCAGTGCCAATAAACTTATGCATCAGCCAGAGTATAAAATATTTCACCTTCATCTGGAGCTAAATCTCAGATGAGAAAAAGATTTGGGGAAACCACACCAGCTCAGCTCTGAGAAGCTGCCACATTTTGTATCTCAGACAGTGGCAGCCAAAGCAAGTTCAGCCTTTCAGAATAACTAGCTAGTCACAAAACCAGATCGGTGATGTGGGAGGTTATATTTTTCAACTTATAAAACCAAAACGTTCAGAGGAAAGCCAGAAGAGAAAAGCAGACTGCATCTGGCAGAAGGGAAATATCCAATCAAAATCTGGCAGGAGAAAAAGGAAAAAAAAAAAGAAAATGCACTTAATTTGTCCAATTTCATTACAGGGGAAAGAATGTGCAATGTGATTTTGACTTAGAAACCTTTCTGAAAACACAAAACTAAAATCCAGTTCTAATCCCTCATAAGGACAACTAATTATGTTAACAGAAAGAGCATTAAGAAAGCTTTTTTTGGTGGTAATTTGTGAAGAAGAGCTGGCTAAGAAACATAATGTAATTAAAAGGAAAAGAGAAAAATAGTCTAGACCCAAAGTTCTACAAATGGAGAGGGTAAATATCCTCATGCATAGCTGGGGAAGGATAGATCTTTACAACATGGTTCATTAAGTGGAAATAACATCCAAGTTTCTTTCTGGTCACAACGCAAGCCACATTTTCAGAAAATGTGTGCAGTTTCCTCATCTAAACTTAGAAGAGATGACAAATGAAAGAAGTAACCACTCTCGTTCCAAAAAATTAAAGAGCCAATCACGTCCTTCCTAGCACGCAGAATAACCAATCATTAAACAGCTGCCTGGCCCCCCTGTAGCACAGGAGCTGGGACAGCAACACAAATGGTTCCACAGGCACCACGCTGGGTACATCATGCTCATCTTGCGAATCTCAAGCCATCATTAATTTGCCGGAAGAAAAATCTTTTCAAAATAACATCTACTGAGTCAATTAAAACCAGACCTAAAAAACACAACCCACAGAATGGGAAAAAAATATTTGCAAATCACAGATATGATAAGGGACTTGCATCCAGAATGCCATATATGAAAAACTCTTACAACTTACCAGTAAAAAGTCAAATAACACAATTAAAAAATGTGCCAAGGATCTTAACAGATATTTTCCCAAAGAGGGCATATAACTGGCCAATAAACAGATGAGAAGATGCTCACTTAGCCATCAATGCAAACCAAAATCACAAGGACATACCATTTCACACCCACTAGGATGGATAGCATAAAGAAGGCAGACAATAATAAGTGTTGGAGAGGATATGGAGAGATCAAAGCCCTCAGACACTGCCGGTGAGAATATAGCATGGTGCAACTGCTGGGAAGACAGTTGGGCAGTTCCTCAGTATGTCAGACATAGAGTCACCATGTGACTAGCAATTCCACTCCTAGGTTTATACCCAAGAGAACTGAAAATACATGTCCTCACAAAAACTTGTACACAAATGCTTATAGAACTATTATTCATAATAGCCAATAACTGGAAACAACTCAAATATCTATCAAATAGTGAATGGATAATAAACAAAATGTGTTATATCCATACAATGGACTATCACTCAGCCCAAAAAAGGAATGAAATACTGATACATGTCACAACATGGATGAATCTTAAAAACATTACGCTAAGTGAAAGAGGCTAGTCAAAAAATACCACACTCTATATATCAATCCATTTACATGTAATGTGCAGATAGGCAAATCCACAGAGACAGTTGCCAGGGCCTGGGGAAAGAAGGGAATACAGGGTGACCACTAATGGGTACAGGGACTTCTTTTTGGAGTAATGAAATGTTTTGGAATTATAATAGTGATCAATATACAATTTTGTGAATATACTAAAGGTTACTGAATTATGCACTTTAAGAATTACATTTATGGTATGTAAATGGAATTACATTATGGTATTTGTACTGATGAAGTTGTTTGTTTAGGGGGATAGGGAAAAAGCTGAATTTTATAAATTGTTCAGCAAGAAAAAAAAAATGTATTGTCAACTAATTCTCCAGATTGAACCTGAAAGAATACTGATATTTGATTCAGTATTTACAGAACCCATGAAGGAGATACAATGGCATTCCATACAACTGTGGACAGACTCATGATTTCAAGACTGAAAAGAAGCACCACTGTCTTTCTTCCCACCAAAGAATTAAGATAAATATACTACTCAAATGAAAATAGATGTGAGGAAAACAGTCCACACTCTCACCTGGTCACTGCCTTCCTCCTTAGTCTCTTCCCCTGCCAAAGTTTAATGAAGAGGACTCTGCCTGGACCCTGATGAGCTGCTGTGGCGCCTGCCTTCACCCTTGCCATCCCAGGGCTCTGCTTTACAACCGCTCTACAGAGCCACAGCTCTTCGAAGATGGCCAGGCCTGATGTCAGAGAGATGGAAGTTTGTACCCAGCTAAATCACTTACTGTCTGTGTTCATCTGCTAAACAAATACCTCGAAGATTCTGAAATTAGATAAACCCTATAAAGAGTCTCAGGTGGTGCACAGGGTAGTATCTGACATAATTCTGACTCACAATAAGTGCCAGCAAATGTTGTCTGAACACACCAAGCAGGACTTTCCCACAAAATAGAGTTAGTAAAGTTAATAAAGTTAAAACATAATAAAGTTTTAAAACTTAGACATGAGTGTCCACTCAAGAAAGCAAAACAGACTTACCGATAGGCAGATATATGTTGCAGACAGCCATTTCTTACTAATTTCCTTGCTGGCAGAGTGTTATGGATTGAATTGTGTTCCACCCACCTAAAAGATGCTTCAGTCCTAACCCAATTGTGATCCTATTTGGAAAGGCGGTCTTTTGTTTTGTTTTGTTTTGAGACTGAGTCTCACTTTGTTGCCCAGACTAGAGTGAGTGCCATGGCGTCAGCCTAGCTCACAGCAACCTCAAACTCCTGGGCTCAAGCAATCCTGCTGCCTCAGCCTCCCGAGTAGCTGGGACTACAGGCATGTGCCACCATGCCCGGCTAATGTTTTCTATATATATTAGTTGGCCAATTAATTTCTTTCTATTTATAGTAGAGATGGGGTCTCGCTCTTGCTCAGGCTGGTTTCGAACTCCTGACCTTGAGCAATCCACCCACCTCGGCCTCCCAGAGTGCTAGGATTACAGGGGAGAGCCACCGCGCCCGGCCTGGAAAGGAGGTCTTTGCAGATGATGAAGTCAAGATGAGGGCACTGGGTGGTCCCTAATCCAATATGACTGTGTCCTTATAAAAAGGGAGGATTTCGACAAAGATAGACACAGGTAGATAAGAAATGGTATAAAGGCAGAGGGAGAAACCGTCTCCAAACTGAGGAACCCCTGGGGTTACTAGAAGCTAGAAGAGAGGCCTAGAATACATTCTCTCTTACTGCCCTCCAAAGAAAGCAACCCTGTTGATTCTTTGATTTCAGACTTCCAGCCTCTGGAACTATGAGACAATCAATTTCTGTGTTGTAAGCCACCCAGTTCCTGGTACTTAGTTACGGGAGCCCTAAGAAATGAATACACAAGGGTAGACTGATTTAAATTACTAACATGATATTAAGTACCGTGACTTTTAAAACTTCTTTCGCAACATTCATTTAAAATGACATCGACTCACCTTCATCAGCCCTTCTCTTGCGGGATCTGAGGTTCTCAGTACATCTTCTGTAAACCACCAGGACTTCTTTATGTAAACAGCCACAACTAAGGAAAAAGCCAGACAGTGACAATGTGCACACAGAAAATGGCCAACAGGGGGCAGTGTTCACCTCTGACAAGGTGCAAAGGAAAGGAAAGATCATTTGCGGGTTATGCAGGTGACATTTTTAGAGCTAACGTTTTTCTGAGCGCACTGACCAGGACATAGAGTGACCACTCTCATCAGAAGGGGACTTCACAGATGTTTCATAGGTGACCTGTTGTCGATTCCAAAACAGGATATACTCAATCTTGTTGGACAAAACAGGATACACACCAATATTGACAAATTCAATGGGTAAGAATTATCTCCTTTTCATGTTACAGACATTTATCAAAGTCCAATCATGTGCCACAAGTCAGAACTCCCCAAATTTAGTAAAATGCAACATTTTCTAAGGGCATGGAATGAACCAACTTGGGTAACAAGCATCACCATAGTGCTAGGCCTGGCGCTGCCTTCTTTTACACGATTATCTTCCATTTTCACAGTGAAACCAGTATTGGCATTTTTCAGAAGAGGACACAGAAGCTCTGAGAGGCAAAGTAACTTGAAGGCAACCAGCAAGGGGGGCTGAGGAAGGGTCCTGGGCCACTGGACTCTATGTCCAGTGTTCTTTCCAAGAGGCTGGAAGAAGGTGAATCATACAGGGCTGGTGGGCCTGTCTGTGGATAAGAAGTTTCCGCAGCTAATATTTATGGGAGGAGAAGGGTAGGGACAACTCTCCCACTCCTACTCTCTCCCACCCCCATCTAGACTATCTCTGAGACCTGTTGATTCCGCCTCACAAACACCCCTTGAACCATTCTGAGTTTAGACACGGGTCCTGCTGTGCAGAATGGGCGACCTTGGACACATCCTCAACCTCACTAAGCCCAGGCTCCCATCGGAATTGCCCAAACCGATCACCGGAGGTGGCTGCACAGTTCCAATGGGGACCGGGTTTGAAATGCTCAGCACAGGGCCAGGCACACGGCAGTGCCCGGCGTCTGCTAATCCATGGGCCGATTCTCTCCTCCTCCCCCTCCTCATGTTGCAGTCACCACGTCCCATCAACTCCTGGGGCTGCCTCGTGACGGGATCTGTCCACTTCGCTTCCAGCCCCAGGTGCCAGGTGGGACCAGGCCACCATCATCTCCACTGATGACTGAGGCAATGCATCACCTGGTTCCCTGCCTGGGTCTCCCCCAGCCAATCCCTCCCAACTGAGTGGTCACCCCAAAGGCAAATCCAACCACAGCCTCTGCCTCTTGTCACTTAGCAACCCTCCTCTCCTTGCTTAAGAATTGCATTTTAACCACCAAAATTACTTTGGTTGTTTTCTGGCATCCTTTTCCTCTACCCTTTTTATCCTCATTTTTATACCTACTTCTCAAGCCAGGTATCTGAGCCTGAGAGTTCCAGAAACCACAGAATTAAAAGACACCTATTCCCAGTCAAACCCTTTTAGTTGAAGATTTGGAGGAAAATGTTAACATGGAGTAGAAAACAAAAGCTCTTGAACACTTAACAGAAGGCTCACGACTTTAAATTTTGCAGGCCACTTGGGGTAAACTGTCGCAGTCTTCTTCCCCATTCCTCTCTGCCACTGGAGGAACTTTCATAGAAAACTCTGTGAAGACCAGGCTACGATTGCATTCGCCAGGTATTAAACATTAACTCTGCAGAACCGGCCTCTGCTCCCCAGAGAGCAGCAGCATCTAACCCACTGTGTCAGTTTCGTATCAGTGAACTGTATCATCTCTGACAATGGTTCCAAAATTGACAGAGCCAGCTGGGAGAGAAGGCCAATTAAATGCTTGACATCTGCCTTCATTTATTCAATTTAATTCATTTCCAAAATGGCACCTACCAGAACTTACAGGAGCTTTATAAAGCCATAAGGATTATTTTCCTGCTTAACAAGGTGAATCAATAAAAGATGTTCAATTTACTAATACGGTGTATTCCCTATAACACAGATGTTCAATTTACTAACACAGTTTCAAACAAGAAACATGCTATGATTTGGTGTTTACGTGGTACCTTGCGAGTTTCACGGTGCACTGCAGAGCACTAATTAGTCACACACACAAATTGTCACAAAATAGGCTGAACTGTTCTTTTTTCAAAACTCATCTCAAACTGCTAAGTCTATAGCACATATAACACATATCAGTGGAAGGGAAGTCCAATCAGCTTTACCAGTTTAAAATGAACTGCTCTCAAAAACAACTCCTGAAAAACAGAATCAGCCTTCTGGAGACAGGCAGCTTTTGATCAATAAAGTATCACACCCAGTCCAGAGGAAACACCAAGGGGAAACGGGGGCAGAGAGGCTGTCCCCAGCTCAGCAAGGACAAATGATGGATCCTGGGCAGCTGACAGGTGCCACAGTGCCAGCCGCAGGGCATTACTGCTGAGACCCTGGAGCCAGCAAACTTGAAAAGTTAGAAGATGGAAACCACGACATCCATGTTTTTAAGAAGGAAAAATATGATCCTGACTAGTATCCTCTGGCCTGCCACCACCTAAGGACCCGGAAGACACCGGACAGCCACAGAGTGCTGTGCTGTGCTGAGAGCAATCAACAGGGCGCTAGAAAGTGCCAGCCTCACTGTGCCAATTTAATCTCCCTGTCCCTGTGAGTGACAGGTGACTTGGACCACATGGAAGATGTTAGTAATGGATTTCATTCTATGACACTCCAGGGTTTCTTAAACAAGTTAAGACAGCGAGGTCCCTAAGGCTAACTCCCAGTGGCCTGGATTCATCCGAGGCTCAGTAGGACCAACTGAATTCAGCTCTCCGTGGCCGAGTTCCCCTGGGGCTGATTAAGCCCCCATCCTTGCCCGGGGAGCTGGGAGCCTGTCGGGGAAGAGAGAGCTAAACAAGCTGCCCCAGTACAGGGCAGGGCGTGACAGGTGCTGGCATCCGGTGTCATGAGAACCCAGAGGAAGGGTTTGACTCTGCTGAGGGGAACCAGGAAAGTGTCCCCAGAGAGCTCCACTGGCTCTGGATCACTGCGTTGGGTTTCAACAGGCAGAGATGGTGGGCAAGGCCGCTGCAGGCAGAGGTCACCCATGAGCAGGGGCACAGTGACCTACAAGTACAGGGCCACATTCAGGGCACCCCAAGTAGCAGGCATAGGAGGGTGAGGACTGAACAAGGAGGAGACAGGGCTGCAAACAGCATCTCAGCAAAACATTAGCTTCATTCATTCACAAGCCTCTCACGGACTTCAGCACCAATCGGGAGCAAGAAGTATAGGCATTTTAGGTACAGCCCTATGTACTGTGCCTGGTGTAGGAAAAAAATTTGGACCTCAGAGCCAGGCAGGGCTCAGATTCTGGCTCCTCCAATAACTACCTGCGTGGCCTTAACCCATTCTCTTCCCCAGCCTTGATTCACCCACCTGACAAACAGAGACCACAATGTCCTCTTCTCTGGTTATTTATGTAGGTTAGGTGAGAGTTCACCTCACCAAACTGCTTTTCCTAAACTGTTTGAAGCTTTCCAGTAGTTTCTAGAAACTTCCTCCACCTGTTTCATGCATTGCTTTGGGATTACAAAGCAGTATGAAAAGGCTTTGCTATTCCCATTGCGGGTGAGACAGTGGAAAGTGTTCTGTAACATTCCATCTCTCCCCGGGAGATCCTTCTCCAAGCCGTCTTTCTGCTCCGGTTTGCACAGCTTGAGATCTGCCGTCCTGCCTGTTCCCTCTGGTGGACAGATGCTTCTCACACCCATTTCCTCATGACCGCTCCTTTTACTACGAGAGACAGTGAGCTAGCCACGGGGTTCCCCGTTTTCCTCTCCCAACGCAGTACACCCACAAAAGTGCCAGATTCAGGCACACACGGAATGTTCCAGCAAGATTTCTAATCCTTTTATCTTGCAGAAGATTTTTCCAAAGAGCTAAATCCTTTTTTATCTGATTTTTAAACCAACATATAAACAAAATAATCATTTGAAAAAGTTAGCGTGATTTTTCCACAATACAGGTCAGAGAGACCTGGTTGTGTCACCTGTCACCTTGGATGGATGGGCTGTGACAGCCAGGAGTGCTGCCCTGAGAAGGAGTTTGAGGCCACAGCAGAACTCAGCAAGGAGGAGTGCTGTGACGAAGTAGCAGGGTCCAGCAGGTGACAGTGCACCTGGGGCTGTGCTTGCCACCCTCTCCACCTGCCTCACACAGAGAACAGCAGGAGGCACTAGAGTGGCACACACACTCTCCAGCGGTCGCAATTCTGTAGCACACGCTGCTTACTCAGCCCACATGTAGATCAGCTACTACATGCAAAGCACATATTACAGCCACTCAAGTAATCAAATTAGACCCTGGCTTAAGAAATCCACAACTTAGAAGAAAAGCTAGTGCCGGGGACATGAAGCAGAATAGACCATAGGCTGTGTGCTGCGGGAGGGAAGGGACGGGGGAGAAGGTCATTTGGACTGAGGGACTGGGAGAGTGTTCAATGGCATCTGCCCTACTCAGGTGGGAAGAATGAGTCAGGCCACAGTAAGGGAAGAAGGCAACCAATCTCTCCCTCTCCCTCCCGCCTCCCTGCCCTCCCTGCCTCTACTAACCACTATTCTACTCTTTACTTCTATGAGCTCAGCTTTCTCAGCATCTACATATGAGTGAGAGCACGTGGTATTTATTTTTCTGCGCCTTGTTTATTCCACTTAACATAATGTTCCCCAAGCTCATCCTTGATGCAGCAAATGACAGGATTTCATTCTCTTTTATGGCTAAAGAGCATTCCATGTGTATATACTACACTTTCTTTATCCGTTCACCTGTTGAAGGACAGTTAAGTTGGTTCAGTATCTTGGCTATTGTGAATAGCGCTGCAATAAACGTGGGAGTACAGATGATCTCTTCAGCATACTGGTTTCATTTCTATTTGATATATACTCAGAAGTGGGATTGCTGGATCTCATGGTAGCTCTATTTTCAGTTTTCTTTTCTTTTCTTCATGGTACAACACAATAAACCTTTTTTGAAAAATTTCAGGGTAGT